CGCTAAATTAATTGAAAAAGATCCAGATTTATCTGAAATATTCATGCCTAAAGTTCCGCAATTGATATCTGATAAGCTGCCAGGAGTATTATTGGGTGCTTTGAGGTTGATTCAAGCATTATATTTTGCAAGTCCCGAAAACAGAGAAAACTTGATTAAAACTATACCAAAAATCGTTGGCCATTTGAAGAGAGTTGCTAGTAGTGGTTATATTCCTGACTATGATGTTTTAGGGATTCTGGATCCTTTCCTTCAGGTTTCTTTACTAACAACGATAAGAATTTTAGCGGTAGATGAAAACTGCCCTCCTAAATATTTAGAAGAAATTAATGACATTTTAACCCAAGTTGCCTCCAATATCGAAAGTGGTAAAAATGCAGCTCATGCAATTTTGTATGAGTGTGTAAAGACGATCTTTGCTATCCAATCTGACCAGTCTTTGAAGATTTTAGGTGTGAACTTATTGGGAAAATTTTTGTCTACCAAGGACAACAATACAAGATATGTGGCTCTCGATACATTATTGACTGTCATTAGTATCGAGCCATTGGCGGTACAAAGACACAGGACTACCATTGTCAATTGTTTATCTGATGGCGATATTTCGATTAGAAGAAGAGCTTTGGAATTATCATTTGCTATATTAAACGAACAAAATATCCGGGTGTTGGTAAGAGAAATATTGTTATTTTTAGAGAATTGTCGAGACAATGAATTGAAACCGTATATTTCTTCCCAGTTGACAACAGCAGCTAATAAGTTTGCTCCAAATGAAAAGTGGCATTTTGATACTTTGATAAGGATGCTTAAACTTTCTGGTAATTTTATTACCCCAGATATTATTTCAAACATTTTAGCTTTGATTATGCAATGCAATGATTTGGAATTGAAGAAGCATGTAGTCGGCAGATTATTATCGTTATGTTTAGAAGACTCAACGCAATATGGTTTATCATTAATAACTGTTTGGTGTTTAGGGGAATATGTTGATCTAATTTTGGATGGTAATGTTGAAGTTAATGGTAAGCAAGAACCAATTACCGATAAATTAATTTTGAAACTAATCGATGAGTTGATTAACAACTCGACATACTCTGATCAAGAAACAGTTCACTTGGTTACATATATTTTAACGGCTATAATAAAATTATCAATCAAATTCAAAAACCCAGACTCTATTGAGAAATTGAGATTAATTTTGAATTCAAGAGCATATGATAATAACTTGGAAATCCAAATTAGAGCAGCAGAGTACCAAGAAATATTTGCCCAGGATACACAATTGAAGAAGGGATTATTGGCAAGAATGCCTGCTCCAAAAGTTAAAGAGAGAGAATCCTTATCGTTGCAGAATACCAATACCCATAGAACTAAACCTGTTGGTCATAGTCATAATGATGCAGGTGTTCCGTCGTCAACTAATGATTTGTTAGATCTTTTGGATGATAATAATGACGATTCAAATGTTTCCAACAATAACCAACCTACAAGTAACAACGATCTATTATCAGACTTGTTTGCGGGACCCAGTAACCCAACACAATCACAAACGTCATCTCATGCGAAGTCTTCTAATAATGCAAGTATACTAGATTTGTTTGACTCACCATCAGCACCTCAAACACCTACTCAGTCCAACTTTGAATTATCACAATCATCCGCACAACCCATTAATGCATTCTCTAATTCAAATATTGCGATTTCTTTCTTACCTACATCGTTTCCACAAAATGGCCAGGCAACGTTGGAAGCACATATAAAATCCAATTCCCCAAGTTCTTCAATTGAGCAATTCCAGCTTTTAATTGCCGTCCCTAAGACTCAAAAGTTATCAATATCATCAACTTCCGGAGGAGATACTTTGGTAAATGGCTCCGACATAAAGCAAGTATTGAAGATTGTTGGTAGACAAGGGTCAAAGGTGAAATTAAGAGTAAAAGCTAAATACATTTTAAATGGTGAAACAGTTGAAGATTTGTTCGACTTTGCTGGGTTCAGTCTGACATTATGATTGTCAATAGTCTTACTTACATTATAGATAATAAAAAAAAAGATTTATTCAATAAAAAAAAGTAGAATAAATAACTTATAATAAAGAACAGTCACCTATAGTACTTAGATTAACTTGTAATAAATAACAGTCACCTATATAGTACTCAGGTAAAAAAATTAACTCAAAACGAAAGCAGACTCGTTTATTTGTAGCAATACATCGAATTAGTAGCTTATAATTCGACAGAAGATGAAACACCTTGAGCAGCATTGTTAATATCTTGAGCAAACTTCTTGTTGTTAACAACGTATCTTCTGGAGAATGGCTTGATAGCAGCATTGTACACAGTTTCAGCACCACCGGTAGATGGAATACCAATGTAAAGCAAGAAAACAGTCTTGAACAAGTAGTAGAATGGAATCCAGTACAAGATAGCCTTAGACCAGAATTCAACAACATTAAAAGTTGCGAAAACAACCCAGTAGGTCAATAACTGAGTGTCATCCTTAGTAGTAGTACTTTCTAACGCGAGTAAAGAGAAGTATCCTGGGATAACTAATCCAGCAATGTTAGACAAAAGTTGACCAACACCACCAATGTTCAAGAAAATTAAAACAAAGTATAAACCAAATCCACCCAAGATAGCGTATGATCTTGGTAATCCAGTTTTGAGTTCGAATTGTCTTAAGATTTGAAGATCCTTGGTTTTCTATGTAATTGATTAGTATATGATAAAATCATTTGGCCTACCACTAGGTGGTCCTTAAGTGTACAATACGGGTACTTACTTCGTCAATAGTAGATAAAAAGCTCTTTGCTTGATTTTGGTACGACATTTCTAAATAATTATTTTGATAGTTAGATTCACGATACAATTGATTTAAAAATAGATAAATTGATATAAAGAATCTGTTGTTAAATATTTAAATGAAATGGACGATTGCTTATGAATCTGTTTTCGAGTTACAACGAAATTCCTGTCGATGATTATATGCAGTCCTGAAATAATCTACTAACACAATTACACAATGACGTTTTATTTAGAGTAGTATAAGTTATTTGTATTATATAAAGAGGATCATTTCTTACCTTTGCCAGACTTCGCATTGCCTTCGAAACCGGCTCTCTTTTTCTTACTATTGGCGAAGTTGTTAACAGTACCAGTAAACTTACGTAACTTTGGTTGCTGCTTACCCTTTTTACCTCTATTATCTTTTCTTGCTTTCAAGTTCTCTTCTCTTCTCTTCAGTCTTGCTGAAACCGTATCTTTGACTATTTGCTTTCTTTCCTTCCACTCGATTTCGCTCTTCAATTTTTGCTTTTCCTTTCTTTTGAGGGCCTTCTTCAAGAGTTTTTCGTCGTCTTTGACTTTGACTCCTTCAGCTTGCGAAATCACTCTTTGCCATTGGTCCTTTTCTTTCTGTTTTTCTTGTTCTTCTGGGGTTAAATGCGATAATTTATGCTTCTTCTGCTCTAATTTTAATAGATGGGCTTTGATGTCGTTATTCGCAGGGCCTTTGAGCTTCTTCTTTTCGGCGGTGGAGCGAATATTGCTCAAATCAGACGTGACTCTGGATCCGTCGTTAAACGTTATGTTTCCATATAATACTGATTTGTCTTGTTTGGCATCTGCATCGTCATCTGAATCCGACTCCGACGCCTCGTCGTCGTCTTCGTCTTCGTCTAATGCCGCAAGCTTTCTCTTTAGCTTTTCCTGTCTTCTTAACTCGTCCTTTCTTTTACGCTCCTCCAAGATCTGGTCTCTTGATTTTGCTACGCCTGTCTTGGATCCAGGTGCCTTTCTCTTTTCTTTTAAAACGCTAATTTTAGCTGACAACTTTTCTCTCAACTTGGCTAAGTTCTCCTTCTTCTTCTTTTGCTCCTCAGGAGATAATTCCTTCTTATTTGTCTTTTTATTTGGCTTATCGTTGGTCTTCTCAACCTTACCAGGCCCATCTGCAGAAAGCTCGTTTCCATCGTCATCGAAAACTAATTGAGTACTATTTTGTATTAAAGAGTCCGATGCCTCGTCCTCTTCTCCTTCCTGTTTGTTTTTATCTTCTTGTTCCGTTTGGTCGTTCGAGTCCACGCTATCTTCCTCGTCATCGTCATCGTCATCGTCATCTACATCCATGTCTGGAATTTCAACTTCATCACTGTCATCATCAACTATTGGTTTTGGAAGCTTATCCTTCGATGGCAAAGTTACCTTTTTGGCTGTCTTGGACTTGTTATCCATCACATCTTTGGCACTGGCATGCGAATTGGTATAATCATCTGCATCCTCTCTCGAGGTAGGATCTAATTTGGCTCTTTTATTCTGTTGCATTTCTTGCTTCGACTTTTTCTTCTGTTGCCATTGGTCCTGTGTTGCATCGTCGTAGTAGTATTTAGCAGGTATTAACGATAATAAGCCATCAAATGCTGTTGAATGGGTTTTTAACCTCTCCTAAAAATCTGTTAGTCTTCTCTGATCGCAACATATATTGATACACAACTTCTTCCAGGACATAATTTAATACCCGAATAAATAACATACTTCTAATGAATTACTCATATCCTCAAATTGGGACAAATTTTATCTATTTACGTATTATAGAGGTGATATGCCTAATGATATATACTTTCCATATACTCTTAATGTCTCTATAGGAAAAAAAAATATCCCATCGCAATTGTAGCCCTGGTCTCAATCCCATCAATTTTCATAGAGAGAACTAGACATTAATCTAACTCTTAATGTTATCGAGTTTTTTCACCCGTTATACTCCCGTAATGATTCTAGCGGTATGTACATGTGGTATTAGAACCATTATGAAAGATTCAGAGGGCATTTGCATAGCTTTTCAAGGTTTCTGAAGGATGGGTATATATGAGCACATTTATGTATGGTGACTATACTCTCAATTACGCACACAATCTAATACTCACTATACTCCTTTCTATTAATGTAAGCTGTTCTTAAGTAAGATAAGGTAATCAAGCATTGGCAATTCGTAATTGAAACATGGATCCACTTGCAAAGTATTTGGCACTTTCATTACCCCAATCTATCAACGCTCGAGAATGGTTAGAGCAAAGTTTGAATGGGGGAAAATCACCATTATATAAGTTTGTATTACCAGATTTCCAAATAGGGACATTGGATTCTTTGGTTCAACAAAGTGATGAATTAAGTAAGCTCGACTCACAATTGAGCACATCGGTTGCTAAAGTTGTTGATATTTTAAATTCAGTTACCCAATCGTCGTCATCAAAAACTGTTAACGGAAAGCAAGTTTTGAATTATGTTGAATCATTTCAGTGGAATACTTCCAAGTATAGATTAGATAAGCCACTTACACAATTGGTGAGCTTGATTTCCAATGAAGCCATTACGTTGGACAATGATGTGAGAAGCTCTTATCAGACATACCAGAATGCCAAGTCGAACTTTTTGGCTGCAGATAGAAAGAAAAACGGGGATTTATCAATAAAGTCTCTCCATGAGATTGTTCGACCAGAATATTTTGTGTTAGACTCGGAGCATTTAATTACTGTATTAATAGCGGTTCCTAAGAATTTGATTTCTGATTTCGAAAAATCATACGAAACCTTAACCGAATTTGTCATACCAAGATCTGCTAAAGTTATAGCTACTGATCAAGAATATTCCTTGTACACAGTCACCTTATTCAAGAAGTATCAACAGGACTTCATCAACCAAGCGAGAGAACATAAATGGCATCCACGTAATGACTTTGTTTATTCTGAAGAAACCTTAAACAACTTGAGAAAAGAATTTGATTTAAGTAAAGCAACGGAATCCAAATCTAAGAACGACTTGATTCGTTTGGCCACCACAGCATACTCAGACATTTTTGCTGGTTGGGTTCATATTAAGGCTATAAGAATCTATGTTGAATCTGTTTTGAGATATGGTTTACCTCCACAATTCGACTGTTACTTAATTAAATTTGACAAGCCAAATTTTAAGAATATGAGCAAATCTAAGAAAGAATTGATTTCGAAGTTCGGCTACTTAGGTGGTAATGGAATGAATAATAACGCAAACCTTCAAGAATATGCCTCGTTAGTGGATACTGAATATGAGCCATTTGTCTTGTACGAAATGGAGATAGTCTAGTCCATATCTACACTATTAATGCAATACTTTGTGCTAGTCAAATTTCTTTGAATTAAATTTCATTTCATAAGTTTCAATTTCTAATTCCTTGTTTCTCGCTAACTATCGATTATACAATTATATATTATAAGTAGTATCATTATATTAAAAATTATAATATTAAAAATTATAATACAATTAGAAAAAAAAACATTAGCTCGCACTCAGGATCGAACTAAGGACCAACAGATTTGCAATCTGCTGCGCTACCACTGCGCCATACGAGCTAAATTCCAAAGTCTATTGAATCACAAATAATACAATTACTATCTAATCTCTTTACTCCTTATTTATTCATCTGTCATTATATCACAAGAATTGTCACTCATAAGTGGTAGAAATCAAAACATAATCACTAGATGTTTGTATCTATAAAGTATTTCTAATTTATTTGCAATCAGACTATCACGTTTGGAACATTAAAAATTGGTACACAAAATTATCTCAAGAATATATTTACGAAGTTGATTTTAATATCGCTTTATCTAACTATCCTAATACAGTAGTTGAACATGTCTGATGAAGAAGATTTCCTATCTGAAGAATCGTATGAATTCGAGTTTGAAGAAGATGAAGATGATGGCGTAGAGGAAAATGAAAATCATCAGGATTATGGAATGGTGAGTACAAATTCAATGGCAAGTTCCGAACAAGAATACTAACAAATTAAGGAAAATAAGTATTACAATGCAAAAGGCTTGAAAGACGATGACCCAGATGGAGCAATTAAGGAATTGAAAGTGATAGTAGAAGCAGATTCGACCGATGAAGAGAATATTGAATGGATATTTAAATCATATAAGCAATTGATGAAGATCAACTTCAGCAAGCAGAGATATGGTGAGACACTCAAATACTTCGAGAAATTAACAGAAATAATGCTGAAAGTTAATAGAAACTACTCAGAAGAATCAATGAGTAAAATATTGAATAATTATTCCCTTGCAAATGATAAACAATTCGTGTCTAGGTTATATGATATAATCTTGGGTTTTTTGGATCAATCAAGCGGATCCGAACAATATAATGATAGGTTGTGGTTAAAGATTAATATAAATAAATTGAATATACTATTGGAAAACAGAGAATTTGATAAATGTTCTGGCTTAATTGAACTGATAAATCACACGCTACTGCTAGTATCAGAAGCAACAAGAAATTCATATTCTTTAGAAGTAATTGCTGCCGAAATTGAATACTACTCACAACTGAATAGAGCCAGTCTTTCAGAATTGAATCAATTATATAGAAAAAGTATGACTATCACAACGGCTGTAACGCATCCGAAGATTATGGGAACAATTCGAGAATGTGGAGCGAAGGTCCATTTCTACCGAGGTAATTACGAGAAGGCAAGATTAGAATTCTATGATTGTTTTAAGAATTTTGACGAGACTGGTTCTCCGTTAAAGAAAAAAATACTCAAGTACCTAGCACTTTGTTCTATGTTAGCTGAAAATGAAGTGAACCCGTTTGAGTCACAAGAGACTCAAACATACTCTCAATTGTCGGAATACACTAACTTAATTCTTCTCATTAAAGGTTATGATGAATTAGACTTACAAGGTTTCAATGGAATAATAGAAAAAATTAAAGCTGAAAACGACCCATTGGCCAACGATGAAATTTTCAATTTTGCCTCTAATAAGATACTAGAGAACTTAAGATCCAAAATAATAATAAACTTGTTGAAGTCGTATAGAATAATTAAGTTTGAGTATATCACAAAGAAATTGAATATCAATCAAGAGCAATTAGAAGAAATGATATTAAAGTTAGCAAGCAATGGTAAGCTATTAAATGCAAAGTTGGATTTCATTGGTGGGTATATTGAAATCGATTCAAAGCAAAAGATAAGCCCCCTACCATTGACAATTGATTCAAAGGAGATATATTACAATATGAGATGCTTGGATGCGATCAATATGAATGGTGATGTTTCAGATAATAATGATTTATCTGATGTCAAGTATGACGTAGATGACAGTATGGAAATTGATACCGATTCGAGACCCAGAACAGCAACTTCCATTTTCGAGCAAGATGCATCATCCCCTTCACTTAATAAGGAACAACGTAGAGAATCTATTCTCTCAAAAATCTTGTTGTTTAATGATATGCCTTCGCTCGAAGAAGAATGGTTTACTGTCATTGATTCTTGGTACAAATACATATCAAGTGCTATCCCTGCCCAAATGAAAGACGAATTATCCCAAAAAGATCAAATATTTTCTGAACAACGTGCTGAAAATGCATCCAACAACAACCTTGTTAGTATGAATGCTAATGAGCCCAACCCAGATCATACTAATAGAAATAGTATTACGCAGAGATCTACTAATATCGCTCAAACATCAATAGATGAAAGAAATGAATTCTCAGGAATCGACCGAATAGATACTTTAATCAACTGGTGCAGAGAGCTCCGTCATTATCAAAATAAATTGAGTACAGTGTATAGCTAATTTCTATAGCATTTTTCTGGAACCCTAAACAATCTATGCGCAAATTTGTGAATATTTGTGTAATTTAAATACTGCTTGAGAAGGACATATAAAAAGTTTTTTTTCAAACTGGCTTTTATTTATTTTCTTTCAACAATACTATAAGATTTAATTGTATGTAACATAACTATGTGTATTGCTTATAAGGAATTGAAGGACATATATGATTAGAATTAACATGCGTTATCGTCATGATTTTACCCATTTTACAATGTCTCGGGTTTAAATTGAAATCAACTAACACCTACATGAAGTGTTCCAATATTCTTTAAAAGTTTTAGATTGTGATCATAAAACATATACTAACTAAAGAAATAGTCTTCGTATTCATTAATATCCAATAACAAGTAATAAATAACCTTACGTCCAAATTAAGACAACTTGTAGAAATTTTTCGACCCATCAATGTAGTTTACCTGGCATTTTAGTATTCCGGTTATTGGATGCTACTTAAACATGCTTTAAATTTAAAGTTATCGAAGGTACGAATCCAAAGCTTTTCAAACATTACATTTTACGAAGGATGTTTAAAAAGTATATTAAAAAATATGCGCAAACCCGGAATCGAACCGGGGGCCCAACGATGGCAACGTTGGATTTTACCACTAAACCATTTGCGCTTGAAACTGATTTCGCCCAGGATCGAACTGGGGACGTTCTGCGTGTTAAGCAGATGCCATAACCAACTAGACCACGAAACCAATTATTAGAATTTTAAGTAATTGAAGTTTTATAACTTGGTAAGAATAAACTTTTATCGTAATTATAAGTGGTTGGCTCAGTACTATACGTCTAATAACATGATTCATAGGTGTATGTTAGGGTATTAAAGCATAGACATGATTGAATAACGTCAAGAAATCGTGTCCACTGTTCTCTTTTTGTGTAAGAATATGAGCGCAAATTCTACTGATTTCCAAGGATTAGAAACGTAGTAATTTGTACATATAACTATGGAAATTCTAAATCAATACAATGGTTGAAGCGTAATGTTGTCTTGAGTATTATTCTTATTAAACTTGTCGTGAAATTGTTCAATCCCTATTAAAACTTAAAAAATCTGTTTTTGTGGTTATATTTCCGATATTTTATATTTTTCGCAGCTATTTTCCCTGAAAGTTGCAAAAAGAATAACAACACGTAAAATACTAAATTTTATTTAAACATGTTCAAACGATTCCTACCAACATTGGCATCTTCTAATCCAACTTTGAATCATGGGGAATCCTTATTCGACCTAGAAGCTAGTTCTGGAAATTCTAGTTCTAAACGATCTGATTGTTCCAGTGAACAAATTAATAAATCTGATATACCTACATTAAGAAGACGACATTCATTTGTCACTCCTTATGCTGAGTCAGTACTAGAAGAGGAAATCAATAGAACTAATGGAAATGCTGATTTGAGTATAGACCCCTTCGACAGTTCCAATATTTTAAAACGAAGCAAAAGCTTATCGTTTAATCTTTCAAGACGCCCAAGTTTTTCTACTCTAAGAAAGAAGGTTCCAAAATCAGTACACTTCGAACCTCTGGAAGAAATGATTGAACCCTCCAGTTACCATTCCAGACAGACAGTTGTTCCTATTTTATTTGGTACTTCAGAAACTTTTGAAGGAAGGAGTAACTGTACAGAGAAGCCACCAGCCTTTCAACCTAACTTGGAGGAAAAGAGGGATATTCAAAGCCAGTTAGGACATATACTGATGAAAGTACTTGGGTCTCAGGAAAATGAGATACAACGAAGATATTCGTTGTTCTCGGAAGAAAGAATTATTTCAGAACTGGAATTTGAAGAATCTCAAGTCAGCCAGCAAGAGGTATTAAACGATAATTTTTTACCACTGGAAACCGTAATCCATAACCCCGTAACAAACATGGAGGAATATGAGGAAAGTGAAAATGACAACAGCTGCTTATTCACAGAATATTCGCAAGAAAACAGATACGACGAAAATTCTATTGAAGATAATAAAAAAGCCGATGATAGTAGCGAGAAATCAGTCCAAGAAGACGAAGTAGTTAATAATAATGAGAATAAAATCATGAAAGCTATTATGCAAAATCTCGTGAAGATTGGAAATTCTGAACTAGAGAATATAGAGTATGAAATTGATCATCCCTCATGGCAAGGGATATTGGATTATTCAGAAAAAGCGAAACATGCAATTAGAATAAAAGATACAGAGATAACTCAATTGGAAAATCAACTCAAAGAAAAGGATAATGGAAAAGCTGAAAAAGTATATATCCTACAAGAAGAATGTGCAAGATTACAAAACGAACTCAATAGCTGCAAAATTGCGAGTGAACAAATCTCAACAAAATATGATCTGCTAGTAGGTCTAAATAATGAATTAGAGGAGAACGAAAAATCTCTTAGAAGCCATATCATGCAGTTGGAAACCGATCTATCATCATCCGTCTCCCGGTTACAAGTAGAGTGTGGTTCAAGGGAAGATATTTTAACTTTAATCAAAAAATATGATAGTAGCGAGGAATTATCAGATAGTGTAGACGTTTTGAAAGACTATATTGAACAGTTGTTCCTTAAGAACGAAAGTGTCGTAAAGGAAAACGATTCTATACTCGAACATCAATTACGAATGAAGAATGAGATAGCATCCTTAGAAGAAAGTCTTAAAACTACCCTAGGTCGGGAACAGGAAACTTTGAAATCAGTTACAGATGAAAACGAGAGATTACAAACCAGCTTGGAAGAATTGCAATTGAAATTGAATGATTCAGATATGATTGCTAAAGAGAGAATGAATGAACAAACTAAAATCCTTACTGAAAAAGATGTAGAAATGTCTAAGTTAAAATCGCAGGTTGTTTTTTTGAAAGAAGAAAAAGGGTACTTACAAGCTAAGCTTTCCGAATATCTTGCAGATGTAGAAGAAGCCAACAAACAAATAAAAGAAGAACTAGATTTTAGAAATCAAATGGAAAAAGTTTACAACGAGTTGAAGACGAGAATGAAAGAAACTGAAAGCCTGCTACACAAAGAAGTAAAGATTGCAAATGACCAATTAATTCTAAAGCAATCTGAAATTACAGCACTTAATGATATTAACTCGAAGATAAAGCAGGAAATGGTTGTAATACTGCGAGACTTAGAAAACATGAAGTATGAAAAGGAAAACCTTGATGTGGAAAACCAAAGATACGTACGAAACGACGCAGAATATAAGCTCAATTTAAATTTGTTACAGGAGCATATTAAGAAATCAAATAAAAATGTAGATATAATGTCCAAAGAATATCTCATGGTTTTGAAATCCAATGAATTAATCTCAAATGCGATAAAAAGGTTTGCGATGGCTACCTTTCAATCTTTGGAACCTGTTATGTATGAAGAATCTAGGGAATATTTCAGAAAAATTTACAGTGAGCTCGTGAAACAAACATTGTTTTCACAAGGAAAAGTAAGCACCATTGAGTCTGTTTCTCAATTCATTACTCGATGTATTTCAGATATCGTATACCAATATTTGGAAAACGAAACATTATTGCAGTCAGAAGTTGAGAATAGAAATAACAACTATCAAAGTATGCTAGATAAGTTAACAAAGATCATGGAAGATAATATACTAAAAGTGTACAACTCAAAGGAGAATATAAATGATAGTGGGAGAACAGGAAAATTGCAATCCAAAAATAAAATGGATATGGAAAGTCATAAACGAGGGATAACCTATAAGAATCCAAATCAATAAAATTTATATATTAGTTAATTTATGAAATATTCTACCTATTTGGAAAAAGATGTATCGACAAAGTTGCCGTCATTTAGCAATCCAGTTAGTATACCCGGCATAATCTCTACTTGCAATGGCTCAGTGGGAAAATTCTCTCCATCAATGGAAATGTAATGGTTAGCAGGGTTAGCAAGTCTTGGTACCAATCTGTAGCTTAAAACTTTTGAGTGGAGAACTTTATCACTATAAACATGAGTTCCCTTACTCACAGAAAGCAAAGTAGAAGTAGTTTCTATGATCGACATATTCGTATCTGTTATTATCATATCCATCGAACCATCATTTGGAAGGGCAGCAGGAAAAAACTGTGCATCATTGGAAACATAAGGCATTTTGCCTACATATAATATATTCAAGTTCGCTGTTGTAATCTCTGGTAGTTTAAGCCAATTACCGGGTGGATCTTGGTCTAATCCTGGACACTTTAATTCGAATTCTTTAGCAGTTAATGTTTTAGGACCATAACCTTGTTTGTAATGTTTATCAAAATGATCCGAAATATCCTGTTTACTTTCGGTTATGCAATTGACATAAATATCACACGGATACTTGCTTCTTTTAAACACTTTGTATGTAACACCCAAATCAAACCTTATTGGGCCCATCCATCTTAAATGCTCAGTTCCAATATCAGAATCCGCTATTATTCCATAACATTGGGTTAAGAATGACAAACTAGTTTTTTCCTTATTCCCGGTACCTTGGGTTACTGCCATAAGATCCAACTTAGCCTTCTGTGATTTCAACATGCTCAAAGTCGCAACTGAGGCATCATTGCTTCCATGTGTACTTAAAGTAAGCGCGTTACCAGAACCACATGGTAATTGTGTTACAGCGATCTTGTTAAAAGCTTCCAAACCTTTATCAGAACGCTGATAAAACCCATTGATAACCTCGTGAGGGATACCATCACCAGAGCAGCATGCAATTATATCATAGCTGTTAATGTCTAAGTTCTTGGCTATTTCCATTGCATGCCCTTGGTATTTGGTCTCCTGATATTTGAAGTTAACATGAGCTTCCTTCAAGACAGGTAAAATCTTTTGCTCGTATATGCGAACTGCATTACCTTGCCCACCATGCGGGTTTATTATAACAAGTATCGATGGTGAAATCAAACTTTTGTCATATGCCCGTGAAAGTATATATTTGCTTAAATCACTAATGTCTGAAGATAAATGTGCATCGCCCGGATCAACAGATTTAATTTGAATTTGTATTCTTTCTGGTTTTAACGATTGTGACAAAGAGTACATATACCCCAACTCATACAAGTCTTGATAATCATCCGATGTTATTTTTTCACACCATATGATATTTCTAAACGGAATATGTGATTCCGAGTCGCCAGTCCTAGAATCTGTCTGTAAACATGCTGATAAAAAATTGTGAGTGTGATCGTTACCGTGTAATGCTTCGAGCGATTGGTCTGTGATTCTTAATCCCCTCTCATCTAGGGTAACCTCAGTCAAATGCTTAGGACTGTATATCAATCGTTCCGTTGACATTAACAGTTGTAGACCACGAAAAGGAAATGGTTCTATATATAGTTCAGCGTCTATCTTTTCTAGAAAATGTTTACTTTAAAAGATTAATCATATGGTGTGTATAAGATCTCATCTACACTATATGTCAACAGACATGGAAATTCAAAATCAAATATGGAGGGTTGGCCGAGTGGTCTAAGGCGGCAGACTTAAGATCTGCTGGACAGTTGTCCGCGCGAGTTCGAACCTCGCATCCTTCATTATTTTTTTGCCTATTTAAACAATGCAGCAGTCAGTCACACGACGAAATAGCAATAATAAGGCTGAAGCCTTTCATATGTTTAAAGGTATTCTTTTTCCAAGAAGTTTTTAAAGAACAATTTCTGCATCAAGACGAAACAATATGGGATTAGGGACAACAATTGCTAATAAGCTAGTAAAAAAAGCTGAAAAAAAGGTTAAG